CGACGTGTAAAATCTATACCATAAAGCAAATGAAGAAACCTAAGCCGTGTATTACACTATGATAGAACACTCCAGACATTTGAGAACACTCGTGAAATGGAGAAAACATTCACCTGTGGCCCGTGTTTTCTACATTTTCCTCATGTTCTCAAATGCCCGTCGTGTTTTATCACAGTGTAATACATGGCTTAGGCTTCTTTACTTGTTCAATAAAAATCAATTTTTACTGAAAAAATAAATTTCAAGGATCTCAAGAACTCTCAAGGCATTAAAATTTCAACCCCGAATTCAAGAACTTAACAGAATTTTCGGGATAAGGAGGAACCCGACAACAAGGTGTCTGATCAATTGCATTCTAGGTGGTGAAAGGTGTTAACTTAATTAAGCTTACATTTAGTGGATCGGAGTTGAGAAAGACATTGCGCGAGTGTAGCGACCGATATAAATTATTAAATGATTGTAACTGATGAGCTGCGATTACGTCAATTTTACAAATTGTGAAACTTTCAGATCGGACATGTCCGGCCTGAACTTGTTCAAATCACAGTTTCCTCATTTCCCACCTCCTTGAGCAACAACTGTCAAAAGATATTTTGTCAAAGCCACAAAAATAGTTCAGAGCCCAGATATTACAAGAAAAAAGTACCACTTCTCCAGATGCTTTCACCGAAAGTTTTAAAACAATCGATCTACACCATTCAACCTTACATTTTGTATTACAGAGGTAAGAAAAACGTTCTTGGAAAGAAATTTCCTCGCCACGAGACGAAACTACCTGAGACACTTTCCTTGATGAAAACAATTCATCAAAACAACAAAGGATACTTATTACTACCAGTTTGGTTTCGTAATCGAAAGCCACAACTTCTCCTTCAATTTTCTCGTCGAAGCACGTAGTGCAAAGCACTTTAGTGCCCGGTGGAATGTCCTTATTTTCTTTTGCATCGCCAGTCGCCATGTTCCACCGGTACTTTCCACTCATGCGTAGCACGGTCCGTAGCATGCGTTAGCACATCTCTAGCTCTCTTCGTTATGGAGAGTTGCTAATTTGATCAACTCACCAGGCAACCATTTCTACCAATTGAGCATCTTAAAACCCAAATTTAAATTCCTGTGTTGATAAAAAATATCTCGAAATTCTGCTTTTAGCTATCAGAATGATTTTTTCGTGAAGTTAAAACCTTGTCGTATCTTGAGTGAAAAGCTCGATCTTTTCTTTGTTTCTCCCCTAAAGTGAAAAACCGCTGTCAAATAGCCTCGGCGAAGAGAAAATAAAGATGGCGGACGGAATGGTAAGTTCTGGTTTATTTCGTTTTGGCCTGTTTTAGCTTGGCAGAGTAACCGGTTCATGGTCAAAATAGGATTTAAATTTTTCCTTTATTCTTTTGCTGAAAGGAATAATTATTGTGTTGCACAATTGTTTTGTGATAATACAATGCACAGCTCAGAAGTGAGACATGCCATCAGGGATGGCACGTCTCCCAGACGCTTAGAAATTTTCCTATGAAAGTGAAAAGAGAAGGGAAACAAGTATTATAAGATAGTATAGCTGGTGTCAAACCTGGGTCGATCGCATATGAAGAGATACACATCACCACTGGACCACCAAAGCACTCGCCACTTGCTTTGCAATTTTAAAAGTATATACGGTGTTACCCTTACAATTATTAATCAGAGCTAATCTTTATCTAGGCTAATCAGTGCAAATACAGGCTAACTGGGACGCTATTCTCAGGGCAATGCTTTAGTAGGCTAGCAATACCATGAAGCTGCTCTTGGGGCAGTACTTTAATAGGCTAATTGGGGTGCTATTCTTGAGGCTAATCAGTGCCATAGTAGGGAGATGTGCTGTCCGTGATGGCTTCTAGAGATAGGCTTAATAAGTTAGCTGCAAGGTCTGTATTGAAAAACATTTAGACCAAGCACGAAAATTTTTGTATGTATACAAGCGTGAGATAGCAAAATGCGTAAAAAAACATTTGGTTTAGCCTGTCCCTCTCTCCCCTTCCCAAACATTAGGGCAGATACAAAACACAGGTTACCAGTCAAACTGGTCAGCCTGAATAGCCCTTCTTCTCTCTCCTCCACAGTGGCTCAAAGGTGTTTTGTGGGTGGGGAGAGTCCACT